AAAGTGCCCTGGGAAGAGGTGGGAAAGATGACCTCCCTTGGGATGAGGGATCAGAGCCAGCTGAGCCTCAACCCTTAGACGCTTCAAGAAAAGGAGGGTGGTAGGTATCAGAAACTCTCTCCTGAGGAGACAGAGGCACTCATCTGCCAGCCTGCCTTGCTGCCTCAGGAGGTTTACTGCTTGCTAGGAGCTCAGACATAGTGTTGCAAAGAGGCTGCCAAAGCTTGTCTGTCTCTTGGACTATGACCCCTGCTGCTCATCCATGTAGGCACCAGTGATACAGCCAGCGGAGACCTTGAGTGTATCAGGAGTGACTACATGGCTTTCAGTGCAAGGGCAAAGGGTGTGGGTGCCCAGCTGGTGTCGCCTTGATCCTGCTGGTGAAGGAGAAATGCTCTGGTTGGAGCAGACACATCTAGTAAGGCAGTCCCTGGCTGAGTGGTTGGTGTTGCTGGCAGGGCTTTGGTCTCCATGGGCATGGGGCACTCTCTGAGGAGCAGGGACTGCTGAGCAAGAATGGGATTCATCTGACAAAGTGAGGTGAGAGTGTCTTTGCTAACAGGCTTCACAATCTTGTGAGGAGGGCTTTAAACTATGCTTGTCAGGGAAGGGGTTTCATTCTCTGAAGAGAAGGAGGAGCAGTGAAGAAGTATCAGGGAACAACAAGATGGAAGAGGCTCTTACGCTCACCTCATGAAAACAGCATGACTGGGAGTCCATCTCAAGTGCTTGTGCCCAAATGCAGGCAGCATGGGGAACAAACAGGTGGCATTGGACATCCCCATACTGCCACTGAGCTTGGACCTCATGTGGGATCGCACACATACTTGTGTAGAAGGGCTCTCAGGATGGGAGTGCTGCAGGAGGTGGACACAGGCTCTTCAGGAAGGACAGGCTGGGAAGGTGAGGAGCAGGAGCTGTGCTCTGCACAAAGAGGTGGCAGCAGTGTGTGGGCAGTTCCCTTTAGACAGAGCAAGCTGGCCCAGAGTGTGGGGGTCAGGAGCAGAGGACAGATGAGCAGGAGTAATGTGGTGGTACATCTGTTACACGCTGACTGGTCAAGAAGTGAAAGCAGAGGAAGCCTTTAGGCAGCTAAAGAAAGCCTCAAAATGGCAGACCCTGGTACTCATGGGGGACTTCAGCCAACCCAAAATCCCCTAGAAGGGCAAATAGGTCTGAGCACAAGCAATGCAGGAGATTTTTGAAGTGTGCTGGAGACAATTTCTTAATGCAGGGGATCAATGAGCTGACAAGGGGGGATACTCTGCTGGACCTGTGGCTCACAAACAAGGAAGAACTGGTTGAAAGTATGAAGGTTGAGGGCAGCCCTGGCTACAGTGATTATGAGATGCTGGAGTTCAAAACACCAAGAGAAGTGGGAAAGACAAGTAAGTGGAATCACAACCTCACACTTCAGGAGAGCAGATTTTGGCTTCTTCATAGATCTTCTTGGCAGGATCCAATGGGCAACTAGCCTGTAGGGTAAAGGGGCACAAGAAGCTGGTTAATCTTCATGGACCCTTTGACACCTTCCTCAAAGCACAAGAACAGTTCATTATGATGTGCAGAAAGTCAAGCAAGGATGGAAGAAAGATAGTATGGATGAACAGGGATCTCAGCACAGAGCTCAAATGCAAAAAAAAAAGATGTCTACAGAAGTTGGAAGCAGAGATGGGATGCCCTGGAGGAATATTGAAGCATTACCTGAGCATGCAGGGATGGAGATAGGAAAGCCTCCCAGTCATGGCAATCAGAGGAGGTACTTGATGACTAGGAAAAGGCAAACATCACACCCAGCATTAAGAAGGACAAGGAGGATACAGGGAGCTACAGACCAATCAGTCTGACCTCAGTCCTTGGGAAGGTTATGGAGCAAATCCTTTTGGAAGCCTTTTCTTAGCACAAAAAATTGTCACAAGGGTGTTCAAACACTGGCACATGTTGCCCAGAGAGGTTGTGGGATTGCCATTCTTGGAAACACTCAAAAATAGTCTGGAGAAAGACCTGAGCAACTAGTTGTAACTCAAATTACAACATGATTCTGTGATTCTGGTTTTTTTACAATTTATTTTGACACATTAGGGTTAGCCATGGCCTGATGTCTGGATTCAGAATTAATTCAGGGAAGACCTGTGGCCTCTGCCATGCAAGAGATCTGTCTAAATACTTTCAATGGTCCCTTCTACATTATATTTCACCATTCCAGATGGAGCTTGGATATGATCTGGTATGGCAATTCTTGGATTAATTTACAGTTAACAATAGCAATACTGGCATGTCTTAATTTGAGTTGCCCTTAGAAATGTGAACTGATGTGACTATTCGTTTTGTAATGCATACCAAATATTAGTAAAACCTTATAATAAAAACGAATTGTTAAAATTTACTATTTTAGGTAGTAGTTGCTATTTTACATTTATATTAAATCTTTCATTTTAAGTGGTCATGAAGCTTTAAAACCTATGCAGTAAATAAGCACCACTGGGTACCTGCATGGCATAGATGTACATTGCAGTAGAGGAGGTGCATTGTTATAGGCTAGCCTCACCACCTAAGCCGCAGAAGGCAAAGGCAGGGACTGGGAGAATGAAGAGCCGCCCACTGTGGGAGAAGATCAGGCTCGAGACCATCTAAGGCACCTGAAGGTGCACAAGTCCATGGGACCTGATGAGATCCATCCGCGGGTCCTGAAGGAACTGGCGGATGAAGTTGCTAAGCCACTATCCATTGTATCTGAGAAGTCGTGGCAGTCCGGTGAAGTTCCCACTGACTGGAAAAGGGGAAACATAACCCCCATATTTAGAAAGGGAAAAAAAGGAAGACCCGGGGAACTACAGGCCAGTCAGTCTCACCTCTGTGCCTGAGAAGATCATGGAACAGATCCTCCTGGAAGCTATGCTAAGGCACATGGAGGACAGGGAGGTGATTTGAGACAGCCAGCATGGCTTCACCAAGGGCAAGTCCTGCCTGACCAACCTAGTGGCCTTCTATGATGGAGGGACTACATCAGTGGACATGGGAAGGGCTACACATGTCGTCTGTCTGGACCTCTGTAAGGCCTTTGACACGGTCCCCCACAACATCC